ATGCATTGCTAAGAACTTCATTTGGACAACTTTAAAGGCGATTTTCTCAGTATTTTGATTTTTTTGCACCCTCAGATTCCAGATTTTCAAATAGTTGTGTCTCGGCCAAATATTGTCTGATCCTAATAAACCATACATCAATAGAAAGCTTATTTATTCAGCTTTCAGAAGATGTATAAATCTCAATTTCGGAAAATTTACACCTAAGACTGGTTTTGTGGTCCAGGGTCACATATTAAAAATTTTATATATTGCTGTTTTTCCTTTTACTTTTGAACGTACCACCTTTTTTGTTTCTATCCTCACATTTAATTTAGATATTTTATACCTGAGAATGATACATAAGCTGATCCTAATTTACCCTCCATTATGTATTTTAGTTTATTTCGTTTTTGTTGTTTTTTTCAATTTTTCAACCAGAAATGAAAACTCTGACATCATTACCCCCAAATTTTTTTTTTTGAATAGTTCACTAAAAAAAATCGATGCTAGAAGACACAAAGGGAATTTTACACACAGAGTTAAACAAGATATGAACATCAATAAGGGAAAAACAGTACTGTGTGATTACATCTCTGGAGACTGGTGGAAGGTCATCTGCCAGCAGTGTGGTTTCAGGAACTGTTGCTTGCATTGTTGGGCAAAATGTCCTTCCTGACCAAACCTATGAAAGAGTGAACTGACTGGATGAATATGTGTATCTGTCTAACATTAGAAGAGCATGTTGAAGTACTTTGTGGAAATGCACTTCTTGATGTGATAAAGTCATGTGGGATGGAATTCTTCAGTTAATGAGCTTTTTGTTAATCCTAATAGGGGTTTTGCACATGGTCATCCCCACAGATTCAATAGCACATGTGCTGTAAAGAAGCATTGGGTGAAATTATGCCACTCATAAAGGCATTTTAGACACTGAGCCTGTTTATTGTTATCATGCACTTTCTGTAAATAAGAAATATACCCCTGGAGTTTAGGCACTGAGTTCTGGGAACTTATTCCTTAATGCAACACAATTTCATTGTGTCGTAATTTTCATATTTAACATATTTGCAGACAGCTTTGTTTAGAGTCTTAGTGGTGCTCCCCTCTGAGAAAATTTACAAAACGGCGCCTCCTCAAGTCCCCCCTACTAAAGTTAGTAGCCAATTGGGAGTAACTCGATTTATTTTCCAGAGGCAGAATATTAACTGAATTTGTTATACTGAGTATAGAGAATTAACAGAGGCAGAGCTGAGATGAAAAATATTTTCTGTTATTATTCTATTGTGATAAATTCACCAAGTAAAACCAAGAATATTATTATATGAAATTTAAAATGTATTCAAATACATAACTATAACAGTTTTCCAAATGTAGTTATGTCTTTGAATACACACTCTAAAAAATGCTGGGTTAAAAAGGGACAAACCCAGCTATTGGGTTGTTTTGACCCAGCAATTGGGTTCAAAACAACCCAATAGCTGGGTTTGTCCCTTTTTAACCCAGCACTGGGTTATATTTAACCCAGCATTTTTTAGAGTGCAGTTTTTATAAATATTATATAATATTATTTTTGTTTTTACTGGAATTTATTAGCTTTTTTATTCAATTCAATTCAATTCAAGTTTATTTGTACAGCGCTTTTCACGATACAAATCATTGCAAAGCAACTTTACAGCAAATTAAGTTTCTACAATATTTAGTGGTAGCTTATCAGTGGTGACTGTCAATTAATGTACATATGGCAGAAATGTACGGAAAAATCAATTAAAGACGTAATCAAACAGACGATGAACACTATTAACAGCAATTATTATATGATGCAATCAAACTTATAGCAAAATGTGGTAGTTCTGTATGTTGTTTCAGGGTTGGCATCATCTGAGGTCCTCTGAGGGGTTGGCATCATCTCTTCTCAGGTGTTCTGGATCCAGACTGAAGCTTGTGGAAATCCTAGTTACGGCAAAAACAGAGAAACAAATAGAGACAATTAGCGTAGCTGCTGTTCCAACCAAGCAAAATTTATTTGTTTAACCCAGGCTAAAGAATAATAATGTGCATTTGATCAGATATAATAAGATCTATTCCATGCGATATAATTAAATCTAGCGTATGATTAAAACGATGAGTGGGCCCGGTGACGTTTTGCTTGACTCCAAAAGAGTTTATTAGGTCAGTAAATGCAAGTCCTAATGCATCATTTGTATTATCAACGTGAATTGTTAAAATCTCCGACAATTAGCGCTTTACCGACAGTAACCAATAGGTCTGAGAGGAAATCTGCAAATTCTTTTAGGAAATCTGTATATGGCCCTGGTGGGCTATACACAGTAGCCAGAGCAAGAGATACCATAGATTTCTTTTGCATATCTGACAGTGTAACATTACGCATAAGTATTTCGAATGAGTTAAACCTGTATCCTGTCTTCTGAGTAACATGAGATGAAAAATAGCTTTTTTATCATATTTGAATGGATTAACAGAGGTAACTGAGAAAAATAGTTTGATGAGGATATTTTTTTCAGTTATCTTTAAATAAAATTTAAACTGGATATATTAATAATAATAATTTTATCTTTAAATATACTTGTATTCAGTTGTATATATTATATATATTAAATGGTATATATTAATATTTTCTACTTGTTCCTATCCTGATGTGTATTCACACTTTGAATACCTCTGATTTAGATGTTTTAGATTTAGACATCCATTAGCTGTTCCTAATTTTCTGAATGAACTGTTCATTTCGTATGTGCTTTCTGTTCTGAACAGTTGATCAGTCGAAAGGACAAGGCCACATTTGAGAAGCTTGACTTTCTGACGTCAAAGGAAGAGAATTACAACCGCATGAGAGAGTACATCAGGTCCCTCAAAATGACCCCCTGCATCCCCTACCTAGGTGAGTGTCAATAAAAGATCACATTTGTACTTGTGTTAATGGCATTTTGTAGACTACACCTCATGACAACATCCAGCCAGAAATGTCTTTAGAGGTTTACTGGCTTTGTGAATTGTTTTTAATGCAGGTTTGTTATTAATAAGGCTGTGACTAAAGCTGAATAGTCTCCCTTTGAACAGAAGAATACTTTGGGTCAGGGAGAGGAATGGGTCATGGGTCAAGGCCCATTGGACTTAGCCAGCCTTGTGATATTGACTCATTCAATTACTTCAGTATAATGGCTTTTACTTTTTTCTTAATTGGGTTCTTTTTAAGTTGGCTGTGAACACCTCATTATATTTTTTGGCCGTGTCTCAATTGCACTCTCTACGGTGTCCAGCAGAGGGCATTTCAGTATGCCGGTCTGGTTCAGTAATGATTGAGAAATGTGCCATATCCTGTTTTAGGTGTCAACACAGGAAGAAAATTGCATTTGTCAAACCATTTCAGGAGTTTTTTAGGATTTCTGCTTGCATTCTGTCATCACACAATGCATGAACTGAAAGCGCTTTTTGACTTTCTCTCTAGCCACTTCAGTGGCTTTAGACGGAATGTAGAGATGGAAAATACAATGAAATCATATTGTAGCACTTATTTCCAAATTGGTAGCCCCTTTTTTCTCTCTTATGAATAGACGTCTGTCAGAGACTCTCATTGGATGTTGCAGAAGCCCAGTGAGCGATTAGTTACACACACATCAGTCTCCTCTAAAGGCACTGACAGCACTCGAAATGGATGCCTCCCTCAGGATTGTCAGGATTGTGGGGAACAGGATCCAGATCTTTCACTCAATTACCCTCTAACCATCTTAGTCATCAGCAGCGAGGTCCGTATTACTAATCCAGCTGTCAGCCGAGAGCCCGACCTGATCAGAAAGAGATCTGGAGGCTTTACCTTTAGGAGGCTTTTTGGATGTTTGACTGTCTTGTTTTTTTTACGAGATGCACTTCATAAGACGTGGATGTTTGATTTTGAACAGCATAACAGACCGTTCAGTATGTCATTGCCACATGCTTGAGTCCCAAGCTCATGGTCACAGTTTTCCAGGTGCTCTTGTGTCATTGTGGTAGGTGAATAACTAAAAGGCCAGTCAGGAATAACTTCAGATGGCAGTAAGTCAAATTGTCTCTTGGCTTGTAGCTTGTGGGCTCATTCCTTTCTAGAGGTCTGAAATGTACAAACATACAGTCACTGTCATTTCTAAGAAGGTAAACATGCGGATAGAGCTGACGCATGTCGTCTCGCTTCTCTCAGCTGCACACATCTTTTTCATTAACCAAATTTCCTTTACATAATCCACACTGAGTGTCTGCTTCCACTTGGGCAGCGTGTCAGTAAACTGCGTCCCACTCAACAGAGGGCTCTCTCAGACGTCACACAGCAGAAACCGCTGTACCTGGTGCCGGTACCGTGTGGTTTAGTTGCAGGGTAACCTATTCCCATTTCTGAGCAGCAGGCTGTTGAAACCACAGGGACGGAAAGACTGCCTGACGTGGCTGAGGTTGTGCACGCTGTCACTTCAGATCTATCAGTTTCCACTGCACTTCTCCAGTGGCCCATTCCATTTCCCATTGGGACAAAGGAAAAAGGAAATGAAAGGGTTTGGGGTTTTGTCAAACACTCTTTTAATTCTTTTTGATGTATTTAGTAGAACTTGTATTATTGGTTTTACTGCAGAAAATGATTGATACCTTTAGTTTGTACAAAAAGAACCCCTGAAAAGGTGTATCCTGAATAGAAGATAATGGGGAAAATTGCACAGCATCACATGTTGTAAAAATCATTATTTATTTATTTTTGTTTGTTTGAAAAAATGATCATGATATTGTTTTGAAAGTATTAAAGCCAATAACTTACCAGCTTCCCTAACAACAGAAATGTGCAGTTTAAAAACCATTAGCCTTAATGAAGCTTGAGAAGTACTTAAGAAGCGAATAGCCTAAACCAATGTGCTTTCCAATTATCTGTACAGCTTTTTATTTTAAAGGTGCCTGCAAAATTTCGGAGAAATTTTTGCAAATGTGATCATTTATGTGATCATCACTTAATTCATTACAATAAATATAATTGTGTCACACAGATCTAATGACCTAGAGATAAAATAACTAATAATAATATTTTTTTTATTTTTTATTAATTTAAATCAAAATGTCAAAATTCTGATTTCTGGTTTTAAATCCTCAAATACAATTGCCTCTTAGATTTCCAACCAAGTTGCGTATTGTCCTGCTCACTGGAGCTTGTTATATTTATAGAACATTTCTTTTTACCTAGTCAAAGAGTGAATTTGTTGTTTGTATCATTTTCGAATGGATTGCTTGTGCTTTTTCCTTTTACTTTCGCTCATAAACTTGTCAGGTCAATATACAGCAGAACCATGACAGCTGTAGTAGATTGATGTTCAATCCATTCACAGACAAAGCCTGTAGCTGTACATCCTTTATTGCAACAGTTTGACAGCACTTGAGGAAATCAGTTACACTTACAGTATATTACAAATTACACATTATTTTCAACAATATTACGTTTATATGTACATAAACATATTGGATCTCATTTGACACCAACAGTTAATTTACACAGTAAATACAGTTTAGATGGAGCAATTGATGACTGTTTTAAGATGTGTTTTTATGTTTAATTACGCATTTATTTTTATTTTTTTTTAAACTACAACATTCTATGAATTTTAAACATGAGATTCCTGAAATAAATTATAAGTCATTTATCTCATCAGAAAATATATATATTCTCTTAGCTTTGAATAAACTAGGAAAGCATAAGCTATTTATCACTGGATTGGATGTCCTGTGTCTTATTTAGTACTGATGCTATTTAATAAAATAATTCTAAACAACTGACAACAGATTCACAGTTGCACTGTATATTTAAAGAAGAACAGGTTCATTTGATTTGACTGAACTAGAGTGAAAAAGCACATCATGTTCATATGTTTTTAATAGATGACTTCCTAGTGACAAGTTATTGTAAGGAAAACAGGCCAATTCATCACACTTCATTTTCTGCGTTGTAAATAGCACTTAATAGAGCTTTCTTTTGTAGTCCCTGACAATTTGGTGTTCTCTCTCAGCTACATCAGCCAAGACACTGTTTGTCCTTTTGCCAACTATGTTACGTAGGAAGCCAAACCACACATGAATCACACTTTATAGGGTGAACGGCGACCGTGGGGGAGCAGTTATCAGTTCATCCCCTGTGTTTATGTGCTGCTCAGTGGAAGGTGTTGGGGTTGGGTCGTATCATCATCACAACCTTCTTGAGGGAGTAGGCGCCTCCTCTGAATTCAGCCCAGTACACGCCGTCCTGATAGCGGCTGCGGTAGTGACCTCCCCTGTACCACACGCCATTCAGATTTGAGTGGGCACAGGCATTATACCACCAGCCTCCTTTTTGGTAGTGGGCACAGTTGCCTGAGAAAAAAAAACAATAACACATTTTTAGGTAAGATGTGTATGGGTCAGTAAATAAATTATAAAATCTAATATCCAAATCTAATTTTACTGATACCTGTGTATACGTCATGATCCCTGTCCAGAGTGGTGAACTGCTTCCCGTTGTGCCAAGTTAAGGAGTCACCAGCGTTACCGTGGTAGCGGCCCACCCTAAGCCTGTAGAAGTCGCTCTCAGGTTCAAGGCGGAAACTTGCGTACTCTGCAAATGTCTTGCGTCCAGACCAGTCCTCTAAGGTGACCAGCAGCTTGTAGTTCCCCTGGCTGGTTATCCAGTATATGTTCTCCAGGCCCAGCCAGTACTCTCCATCGATGTTTCCAAAGCCTTGCTGTAATAAAACAGAGGAGCACCTGCCATTGAGTATTTGATGGACCAAGTAAAATATTTATTTTAGTGTACATTACTTACTCTATATTATTTTGTCATGCCCTTGAGGCTGAAACAATTTCATTAATTGCTGTAGGGGTTGTACTTTTTTGTTCTTTTTTTCTTGTTCCTTTTTTCCTTTTTTGTTTTGCTGGTAGGCCTTTCATTAGCCAGCACATTCTTTGCATTGATTTTTTTGAGATATTATTATATTACATATTGTATATGTCATAGATAAAATATACATATAGATCATATTAATGTTGAGTAACATTAAATGGTTTTTATTTGCATTGAGGCATTTCAGCACAGTGTGGTAGTTTCTGCTTGGCATATGTTCCTCATTAAACCTCTTTAAGTGCATGGCTCAGTATGTTATCTGACATACGGTTCAGCTTATGTGAAGAGTTATAGACCATGTGACATTAAGTGACAAAGGTAAAACGTATGCAAGTTGTTACCACAGAAACATAAATTCACTTGTTTGTTAAATTTATCACCATTGCTAAAGAAAGGCATTTATCACCTCTGTCTACTTTAGAGATATTATATTTAATTAGACTGCTCATTTCCCCTATTTTTACATTGATAATCATAATAATTATGTCTAGAATTTATCATCCAGAATTTCTATTCCTGGCTCACCTTATATGTCTCCCAGTTTCTAAAGAAGTTGACGGAGCCATCCATTCTTCTCTGGATGACTGTCCAGCCGCCAGGATCCTGTCTTTGATCACACCACACCTGCATCAGCTTGTTGGTGTTCTCTGGCTTCACTAGGTGCATGCCACTGTTAGTGTGACCGTCCTCCAGAGCCTCCAGACAATCCTTCCAGGGACCTTGACAAAAAAAAACAAAAACAAGATTAACACGGCTTAACAAGATATATCCTCTTAAGATACATTCTCAGAGAAGTTTTATCTTTTTTATAGGAAGTGTCCTGCCTGTTGCTGTCAAATTTTGCATGAGTATATGACACTGTGATGGACAGAACTACTTGTTGGCTTGAAGAGATATTCAGGTGCAAAGCTGAAGCAATTGTATAATCAAAGGAAGTCATACTAAGGATCCCTCTGCACGCCATTCTCAGTTGCATCTACTCCCACTAGGTCTCTTGTTCATCC